AACCACTGCAACATCTTTTGCAAGGTCTGCAAACTGTTCTCAGATTTGGGGATGTGAGGAGATATGTGCACGAAACCTGCCTACTGAAAAGCAGAATTATTTAGCAAGAGAATGGTACACTAACTTGCATATGGTAACACAAAGTTGATTTGTAAAATCATTAGTAAAATTATGGGAAATACTACCTACATGTAAGAGTAGACAGTTGTGTTCGATCAATACAGTCATTAACACAGACAAGCCTCACCAGATATTAAGCTTGACCAGTAATTACATTCTGCCAGTTAAGTGATCAAATTCAAACCAAGGATTGCTAACAAGCTGCCGGAATTGCCTTATTTCAGTATGTGTTACAAAAGGAAACAACAAAACACCATTTAATTCTGCTGAGAAATTAATTCTTCACTTGCACGTTGTGCATTAAGAATACCTACTCTTAAGCGACCAGATATCATAACATTTCTAGATTTTATAAGCAAGCATGTGACTTACTATAATATTGTATTAGCATCTGCAAGAACTGTGTAGCTCACAATTACAAAAAACTGTATTCTTGTACCAGTATTCTTGAGGTGCCAGTTTCAATCAAAACCCTAAGAGGTTATTCAGAATTAAGGAGCCATACTCTTTGCCTAGAAAAACATTAACAAGCTTAAAGATAAAAGGCTGAAGCTCCTTATATCAGCCTCAAGGAAGCTTGGATCGGCCCCTGGGTGAACTCCCTGGCTGAAGAGTCTAAGCCTTTGGAAAGCAAAAGCTAAGAAAAAAGGTGGAAAAATCACATATTACCAGAAAACTGCCAGGTTTTCCTTAGGGTTTTCGCCCAACAAACCTTCCCCATGCAATTTATTTGCAGTAGCACCAAAGACTGGTGGAGAAGGCCTCTGAGTAAAATCCCAGGCCAAGTAGAATTAATAGCAAAGCTCCTGCTAAATTTAGCAGGGTCAGATTTTTCACTGTATTGACCTGAGACCACATCAAGCAAAATACACAGAACGAAGTCACACTTCAGATCATATTCTGAATTTTTTTTTTACAGAGCTGTTTTTTTGTAGCCAGAAGTACACAATACAATATTTTCTTTAGTATTTTATGGATTGCAAATACTCTTTAGTGCATTTCTGTAGGATTCCTTTATTCAATGTGAATTCTAAATTTTAAAATCACATTCCACATGAGGTTTGAAAGAAGCCTGAACTAGTCCCACAAAGTTCACATCAGAAAAACATTGCAGCTTTCAGTAAGGGAAAACAAGGTCTAGAGGGCATCAATGACAGAAGTGTCAAAAGCTTAAGCGTGCTAAAAAAGTACAAAAAAAAAAAGTGAACTCCACAGGTAAATTAAACAGTTCTTCATTTAAAATATCACTGAACATAAACCAGGTGGAGAGGCATTGGAGTAACCAAGTCTAACTAAGCTGATCTTTGCATTAAAAATAATAAATTCTTCCAAAATCAAATATGGTAAAGTCACAAATAACCACACTAAGTTTACTGCATGTCATTGCTCCATTACAAATCTTTGAACAAACTTAACACTATGCTATCTGTATACTCACACCGGAATAATTCATTTAAACCAGCTCAAGCTTACCTACCTCAATTTACACCAACATTTGTTCTGTGAAATGAACCGCAGGCTAACCCTCAACAGTCACAAATGAAAACTGTCAGCATGCACTATAGTTAGTAGGTGAAAATTCTAGTACTTCTACCCAAACCTTCAGTTTAATGGCAGGAATGGGAAGTTTCCTCAAGTTAGAGGGATCGACTTTTCTGAAAGCTGACAGCCATTCTCTCTCATATATGTCACTGATAAAGGCTTCCCAGCAGTTCTCTTAAATAGCAGAACAAGTAGTTATCCAGATGAAGAACCTACAGGAATCTTTCTTACCCTTAGGTTAGACAAAATGCTATTATTCATAAAGTATAGTCTCCCATTAAAGAGTGAAACTTCTGCCTGGAAGAACCTGATTGCATTTGTGCAAGCGAAGCGATGAGACGAGAAAAATGCACGCATCTTCTCCTCACATTCGATACACACATGTTTCAGTGCTCAGCTTCCTTTCTACTGATGCAAAATTGAATGCTTTTAAAAGGACATTATAAGCTAGAACATAAAAACATAGAAAATAGCAGCCTCTTTCTTGAGTGTTGCTGAAGCAGTTGCAAATTGTACTAAAGCAGTGTGCATTCTCTCTTCCTGCTGGCCCTTCAGGTGTTTTTTTCCTGAGTTGTACAACAGCAATTACAGTTGTGTCTTCTTTCAGGCATTCTCTTGGTAGGTAAATGCCCCTGAGGGAATATATTTGATGTATTTCTAAGCACCAAAACCATCAAAAGACTAATCCAGGTAGAATTTCTTTTACAAGCATTTCCTTGTGCTATAGCAGTAATGACAGCATTGCCTTTTCAACCTTCTTTCCCCACCGAACAAGTTTTAAGTGAATTTCCAGATGTTACTCGCTCAGCACACCTTCCCATAACCATGTACTCTTCCTGTAGTTGTGCCAGTCATGCCAGCATACAACCACCCTTCAGTCAGTACATACTTTCATTATAAGCAGAGCTGCACACATTTATTGCCACGGCTTTTCTTACTCTGTTGATATCTGGAACAGACAGATGTTGAAGAAATCTAGCTGAAAGAACCACTCCATTTAGCAAAGACTGAAAGTGCTATTAATGAAAACATCTAGTAACTGACTCCCTGGGTGTATAGGGAATAAGAATTGCCATCTGTTCAATCATGTCATTCCTTTTCGCCATTGTTTCTCATCACTATTATATTACCCCACTTAGTCATGCCACAAAGACTTGTTTATTGATCAAGTGACAGCAAAGATGTCTATAAGAAACACAGCATTTCACAGCACCTTTTCCTATGTGCTAAGTGAAATGTGAGCAAAATTAGATGAAGAATACATCTCCAATCTTTCTTAAATGAATAGCCCCATTTGATTTTAATTGCATCGGTTGCATACTACTTCAAAAATAGATAGAAAATAATAGGCTTGTGAAATCTAGTTTGTTTTATCCATCCCCCTCAGCTGGCCAGTGTTCAACCTTTTTCTTTCAGCATAACCAGAAGAAGCACAAACCAAAAGCCATTTTCAGCCTGTCATAGCTTTGTCTTCCAATTACTGTACTGGCTCCTAAATGAGAAGATCTTTCCAGCTGTAAAGTTGCCAAGGATACAAAGTGCCAGCCATAGGGAATGGGTTGGTGCATTCTTTGCTTATGGAACAGGTCTTCCAGTTTCCTGAAGCCCGGTGAAACAACAGCTGAATGATTTGCTCTCAAATAGAAAAGATATCATTTTCTTCCAGCTGTGAACACGCAGTGCACATTCCCAGATGCCTACTATTGTATCTTCATTTGTAAACATGAGAAACTTGCCCCTGACAGGATCACAATGAACCAGAGGTGTGGTTGATCTAATATTGAAAATGTTTTTAATGTCCCTATTGCTACATAATCTCTCATATATGAGGAAAGTGACAACACCAAACAAATGGTTCTAAATGTTCATTTACTTCTTGGACAACTGAAAGAAAACATGTCAACATTGCATTGTTTTGCTAACTGACACTCACAGTGCACTGCCCAAAACCATTAGGTGTTGCCCTACAGATGGAAAAAAGAAAACACTGGAAGTCATATCCAAGGTGTTTGTGTTTATCTTCAAGTCAAAACGAACAGGTTCACCTCAGCTGATCAAAACGTCTCATCTAACCAAAGTGAAAGATAGTCCTTAAACCATAACAGAATGCTTATTTCTCAGGCACATACTTATCTGTGGCTGGACTGGTTTATAGCAAATGGTGGACATAAACCTACAGTGATTTATACTGCTACAAGAAGCCAAACAGACTGGTTATAGATAGAATGTAACAACTGGTTTTCAAGAGATCAAGATTTAAATTTCCTGGATTGCAATAATTAGAACAGGAAGCCTTACCAAACTCAAAGAAGCTAATGCTTTTCAGTGACTATTCTTGTAACTATGAATGTGGATTTCTTTCATCAAGTCTACCCATTTAGAACAAAATATTTTAATGGTGTTCCAGACTTGTTTTGAGACCTATTAGGAAATACTCATAAATTTAACTTTCTGTCAAATGCTGTGTTAGAATGCTATTCAGACATGTTCTATACACTGAGGATTACATCAAACTACTCAGGAAATTTACAGAGATTATTGTGACGGCATATCCTCACACAAAAGTTACTTAACTGTCTCACAAACTTATTTTATGAATCTTCCTGTCTGCCTTATTTAAAGAGGAACTGGTGTCAAATCTTGATGAATTCTCCATGACCTTAATAAATGTGGATGATTGGGGAAAAAATTGCAGCCTTGAGGAAAAAAACAATACATATACAGAAAACACTCAGATTTTAAAGTAAGATTCATCAAAGGAACATACACAAAATTCAACATACAGTTGATATGAAAAAATCACTGGTCCTCTAAAACAGCAACGATCTATACAAAACAAGGATGTGCTTCTGTTTAAATAAGAGCAAAGTGGACTTAACCAGTCTAATCCTACCATTTGACCCGCCTCTCAGCCGTGATCTAGATCAACTGAACTCTCTTTACTTAACAAAGGTTAGCATTAATTTTCTCTTTTGATCCAGTAGTTGGCCATGATTCCAAAACCATCAGTGTTCCACCTTACACTGCTGAAATTTTGTAACTTGCAGAGCCCACCATGAGGGCTTGACTGTCACTGCCAACAGTTCTCCATAAAGGCCACTGAACAAACCGTGTTGTGACAACAGTACATCCCACTAAGAGTTCACAGCCTGCTATGGCAGTTTGCATTAATGGTGACATTAACCATTAACAAAATATCCTGATTTGTGTTCCTATGTGTTCATGGCACTTCTACATTTTACTTAAAAAGAAACATTAGATAACTTGTTTATTTAGTGTGAACGATCTTCCAGGTGGTATAATTCAAAAATATATATAATTAAGCATCTTAATCTTACCACTGTCTTCAATGGAGAAATAGAAGATGTCACTGGTAGCATTATCACCTTCCTTCAGGACATAGCTGATCCTCATTTCATCAATATCAGCTAAGAAAAGAATATGATAAATGAATCAGCACAGAATTTTACTACAGAATATAGGACATAGTTCATTCTACCTTTACTGTTTATTTACTAATAAATTGGCTAATCTGTGGGTAAAACATTTCAGCTACCAAACTTGTATAATGTGGCATGGCTTCTTACACTGGTCTATACTCAACAACACAACATAAATTTAGTTATTAGCTCAAAGGACAATGGCAAAAAGACAGCGAGATATAGTTTTATCATAAGTATTTATTTTTAAATACTAAAGTCACATCCTTGTTTCAGCACATTAGGACAACTTACCTTGCTATAACTAAATTGAATCTGCTGGGAGTAAAGATCTGCCCATTTTTTAAAGATCAGTTTAGCTTCAATCAGTTTTTAAAGCTTTTCTGTGACACAAAAAACTGTTGTAGGTACATTGGGAGTGAATATGAGAATGTATTAAACAAATATAAATAGGTCTAAAAGTATTAAAAATTTTGATCTGATATTCCCAGAGACTAACAGAAAACCATGAGGATATTTCTATTACCCTTAAAGTTGCAGGTGTATTATCCTGTGCCACATTTCATCAGTATGAAGACTTCTCTGGAGTTTACTACTTTTGCTTTTATTTTAGTTAAATAAACAACAATTTAATTTGATATAAAAATGTTTGGGATATACCTAAATGTTCTTTATACTTCATTAAGCTGCTCTTGAGCTATTTCTGATCTGTTAAGAGACTTACTCCCCTGGTGTTATCTGTTGCTCTTCTTCTGGCCTGGCAGATTTGGGTTCTTTCTGCCAACTGAAAATGCATGAAACATTGTTGAATGAATGGCAAATTTTTCCACAACACTGTAGCTTGGCAGACGAACTGCAGACTTTTAAAAATAAATTGTGTTATCATACTCTTAACAGCTAGAACCTGTCTGGTGGGGATGATGACAATGGAGAAGAACTGGTGAGGTGAGAAGTTCACACCGCCAGCGCACTGGAAAGTGAATCTGTCCTCCATGGGCTCTACCCCTTTGTGAATGCTCTGCACATAGTTGACATGGCCCAGACGAACATCTTTCATGGAAAAAGCACTAATGGCAGTACCGGCTCTAGGCTTCTCGGACCCTGGGGCTGGAGAGACATTGTCCAAATATCCTGAAGTGGACTGAACTGTGACAATGCACAAAACGTCATCTCTGGGAGTATCTACATCCTTCACATCCAGCTGATCCAGAGTTAGAGTACTCTTCCCTCCCTCAAGGACACTGAGTGGCTCTGCCGCAACCATCACTTTGGGTTCAATGCTGTCCACAGGCAATATAGTTACAGCCACATGCACTCTTTGTACCGTGCTGCCTCCCACCACCTGTTCACGGGAGAGGTCATAAATGGTGAGATTGAAGGAATCGTACCTCTTTTTCAAGCCAATCTCTCCACTGGTGTGAGCATAGGCTACTGCTCCGCTGATGAGGTCATGCTGGGTAAACTTTTCTGATCGTACTCCACCCACAAGGATGTCACCCAGCTTGGGTGGGTCCTGCACAATGAAGGTCAGCATCAAGTCATCCGTATCCACATCCATACCCTGGATAAGTGAAGTAGTAATTTCAGTAGCATCATTTTCCAGGACATCAATGGTTGCTCCCACTCGTTTGTGTCCACCAGGGAGAGCAATAGTTGGGTTTTCATCATCCACGGGCTGCACCGAAATCTTGACTGTGATTGGCACATGATGGACTCCATCACTCACTTCCAACTGATAAGAATCACTGGCAAACTCATCACCGCTGTGCTTGTAGGAGATGCGCCCACCAGCAATATCATCTAGCAAGAAAGATTCCCCTTGCACCAGCAGACCCTCCTCCAGATAATGTAGATGGCCATGCTCTGGAGATTGAGTTACAGTGAAGACAATCTGGTCTGCAGACGTATCCTCATCTGTAGCATCCAGTTGATCGCTGGTGAGAAGGAAACTGTTTCCCTCAAGCACAGTAAAGCCTGTATTGGTGATTTGAAGTGGCTGGTTGTCCACCGGCTGCAGGAAGAGAGTAAAGGTACCTTGCAGTGAATTGCCAGCCAAGTCCTCTACAAGGAAGGTGAACTGGACCACCCACGGTGTGATCCCCAGCTCCTGCTCCGGGGGTCGATATGCCACCTTGTGGTGGTTGACCTGGGCTTGGGTGAAATGTGTAATGGACGTCTCCGGACTGTCGGCCAACACAATCTCTCCAGTGACCACAGAGTGGTTCTCATCTGTGTCACTTGGGGGTGTCAGTAAAGTGTACTTCAGCTCCCTGTCATTCATATCCAGGTCAGTGTACCGTAAATTGTGCTTCTTAAAGACAGTCAGCTGGTATTCCTGCACTGTTATCTGCAGGCTAGTACCTGGGTACAGTGCAGGTGGCAGGTTGTCTACTGGTTGGATTTTGACAGTGAGCACATGTTCCCCTGACTGGTTAGGGGGGTCGTTGTCATCCTGCAGCTGGAACACGATGTGGCCCATCACTAGGCTGACGTTGTGAGCTCCCCTGCGCCTGAAGAACAGCCTCCCATCGAGGATGTCCTGCTGCAGCCACTCGCTCACCACCCTCTCATACACATCTTCATCCTCCACAAAGCGCCAAGGGGAGGAAGAGGAGTCACTCTCCAACCTTGCACCGCTCTCTTTGCTCTCATAAGATGCTGGTTGCTCTCCCTGACGCAACAGCAGCTCACCAAAGCGGTGGGAGTGAGGTAGGGGCACTGCAGAGTCCCCAGCCAGGACAAATCGGATAGAGCTATCGTCAGAGTCAACGTCAGTGGCACTGAGGACAAAAGGTGAGATTTGGACAGTCTGGTGCTCACTCAACACCAGCCTGGTATTTGCATTCAGCAGCGGTGGCTGATCATCATTGGGAGCAATGGTGTTCGGGTACAGAAATTCAACCTGGTGCTGCCTGTCTGCCATGCAGAAAACAATGTTGTCGCTGTAGCTGTTGTCACTGCCATCGTGCTGGTAAATCACCTGCCCTGCAGCTAGCTCTGCAGCAGTGAAGTACTTGCGGCTGGGTGGCACACCCAGTACCTCGAGCTTCCCATATCGCAGGCCCCGCATGACCCAGACCTTCACCTCTTTCAGATTGTCCTCATCGCTGATCTCCAAGTTGCCAGACAGAGGCCGTGACTGGCCCTCAAAGAACATCAGCTGCAGGCCAGCCACACAATCGAAAGTGGCCACAGGGGCCAATGTGTTCATGGGCTTTACCAGGATCATGAAAGCAAAATGCTCTAAGGAGGCGCCGTCAGGGTCCAGCACCTCCATTTCCACCTGGAAAAGCCGCTCCCGGTTGGAGTCCAGGGTAGGGGGCTGGTAGGCAATCTTCAGCTCCCTCACCTCCTGCTGCGAGGAGAAGGCAAGGAGGGGGCGGCTGGGGTCATCAGTGCTGAGCAGGAAGCCTTGCTGCCCTGGGTCATCAGGCCAGACCGAGATGAGGTTGAAGACCAGGAGGTCCGGGGGAGTCTCTAGGTCCTGAGCAGCCAGCATATCCAGGGTGAGGGCTGTGAGCGCGAACTGGTCCACCTCCATCATAAGCAGCGCCAGGAAGCTGGGCTTGGGCGGTGTGTTGTCAGCCCCTCCGTGGGTCCGCACCAGCACCTGGAAATACTCCCGCTGCCCCGGGCCGGCGGCAGGCAGCACCGACACCCGCGCCGGGACGCGGTCCCGGCCGGGGGAGGCGGTGACCGCCGTGTGCTGGTAGCGGATCCCGGCTCGCAGCACGGCGGAGCAGCCGCCCGTGGGCGGGCAGGGGGCCGGCGCCAGCGGCCTCGGGGGGCAGCAAGGTGAGGCGGCAGCGCCGGCCGGGCTCGCCCTCGAGGAAGCCCAGCACCTCGCCGTCTAAAGGCGCGCTGAGCCCCCGCAGCTTCTCCACGGGCAGGGGGAGGTTGCGGCTGAGCAAGCGCGGCTGCTGGAACGGCAACTCCACCTCCAGCGTGAAGGGCACGACGAGGGTCCGGCGGGGAAAGTCGTAGCGGAGCTGAAGGCGCAGGCGGTACCGGCCGGGGCTGCGGGCTCCGAAGTGGGTGTAGGTGACCTGCCCGCGGGCGAAGGCGCAGGGGAAGGATCCAGGGCGCCCGGCCCGCTCCCCAGCTCCGCCACAACGCACCGGTCCGCCGGCCGCACCCGCAGCACCAGATCCGCCTCCGGGCCCAGCGAGACGGAGCGGCCGAGGGGGACGCGCAGCCCCTCGTGGGAGACCACGATAGCCGAGGGGTCGGGCTCCACCGGGGGCTCTGCCGCCCCCCGAAAAGCAGCAGCAGCAGCGCTGCGGCCGGAACCCCCCGAAACCCCCCGGCCACGGCCCGGCTCCTCCGGGACGCTCTGCGCCGTCCCACCGTGGCTACTAAAGGGCCGGAGCGGGGGGGGGGGGGGAACCGCCCCGGGGTTGGGAGAAGGGCCCTCCCCCAGCGCTGCAGCCGGGGCCGCCACCCCGGTTGGGGCTCGGGAGGGGCCCGTACGCCCGGCAAGGGGAGGGCTGGGGCGGCGGCAAACCGGAGCGACACCCCCCCCCCCCCCCGTCCCGGGGCGGGCTGCCGAGGTGGCACCCACCCGGCTGAAAACCCCAAATTTCCTCGAGGGGGAAGGGAATTCAGCGCGGAGAGGAGCAGAGGCAGCAGTTCAAAGCCAAACACAACCGGCCCCTTCGAGCTCGAAAAGGGGCGAGTGAGAATTCGTCCATACATTTCGCCCCCAGGCTTGGCACACAGCTCACGCTAGGCGCGGACAGTAAAGGGGGAGGGGGGAGGAATTCGCACAACCACACTGACTTTCGGATGTTAGCTTACCTCCAAACAAATTCTCACAGCTGAGACAAAGGGAAACTGCCTCCCCTTCCCCTGCGCTTGGGACCCTTCCAGGTGCTCAGCCCTTGCTCAAGCTCCTGGCTGAGGACAGCGGATAAAAATGCTACCGGATTTAAAAAAAAAAAAAAAAAAAAAAGCCAAGATTTCTGTTGGAATTACTACTGGGCTTTTTATTATTTTGGACATTTAGCCTACTATTTCATTAAAGGGACAACTTGCTTAAAGTTTTATTTACTGTTGATGACTTTTTTTTTCAAATTCTTCGGGAAAATATCAGCAAGTGACTGAGTCCCACTGTGCATGAAGATTAATTGCTCACTCACTCTTTACCATACAATAGGACTGGGCTTTTCATTTTTAGGTGTTTTGTTTGTGTTCTGCTATCTTCATTAATATCAATGCATATTTGAAAATAAAGTGCACAGAGAAACCAAGTACACTTCTCTGGTTTAGTACAAGCTTTATAAAATCATTTGCTATGAGTTTATCAATGGCTGCTGTTTTTTTTTTTTGTTTTTTTTTTTTTTCCCCCCCAAGCATAAGAACTTTCTCATATGTAAGTTTCCATACACTAGAGAGCAGTTCTGTACTCTGTGGAAGTGTTCCCAGGAGTGAGGACTGAGCCCCTGGTGTGGTCGATACTAACAAACTTCTAGTGGGACTTGTCCTTTCAGGAACATAAATATGTCCAGCTAATTTTCCTCAAGCCAATGGGATATTTCTGGACAAATGTAACCAGACTAACTTATAATAATAATCACTTATAAATAGAAAGGGGATTTTCTGTTCTTGATAGATTGAAAGCCATTATGTCAAGTTCTGCTCTTTGGTAGAGCTGTGTAACCAATAACCCAAGTTACCCAGCGAAACCTGTGTGTACATCTACATATATATATACAAGCATGCAAACTTCATGAAATTTGCATTTTTTCCATCCTTAATCAAATCTAGGCATTTGTTCTACAAGGAACAGTGCCAGTACACAAGGTCTGTGTAAAGCTCAAAGATTGTATGCTGTTTCCATCAAGTTTCCTGGAAAGTAAGACAAATTTTCCCATTAAAATAAATGTAATGAGAAATGTGTACAATTACAATTTTTATCTCAAGAGTGTGTTGGGCAGGAAAAATTGAGGAATTGCTTTCCCATGTATTTGCACTCAAACTGCTTCTATCTTCCAGTTTGTTGTGAGGTAGCATAATTTATTAAAAATATGAACGTACACCAGAAAACCGTAGATTATATATTATGAAGTTATGGAAACCTAATGTTAAAGTGTTGACAAACTAAATCCAAAGCGCACACAGTGGTTCTGACTTCCCCTTGACTTTGTGCACAGTACAAGAATAATTTTCTCCTCTTTCTGTTACAATAGCTTTTAAAATATCTCTTCAGCTTTTAAAAAGATACATCATTATTTTAAAAAATACCTCACTAGCTTTTAAAATACACCTTTCTTACACCACTGAAGTCCGGTCCTATAAGCAAGTAGAAATAGGTGCTCGTATTACATGTTAAAATTGGTGGAAATGCTTTCATATGTACCTGCAGAAAAGCAGTATTTTTTTTTCCAGCTCTTAAAGAACTTCCAATTGGGTCTTGAGTCCTGCAATCACCTTTCAGCTGACTTTGATGGGCTTTGGATCAATGTTAGTTACATAAGATATTTAGAATTAAATTCAAAGATTTGTTAAAGTTTTACTTGATCAAGTTGCTTAACTGTGCCTCAAACATAGGCAAGTGGCTCCTTCCTATAGTCATATTCCAGCTGAAAAAAACCCCACCATATTCCAATATTAAAGCAGGTTATGGCTAATGGCAGAGCTCAGTCAGTAAAACATGGATACTGGATATCAGTGAAAGATTCTAGAGATCTTGATTTATCACCCTGTTAGTTCAGTGGTAGCATAATTACAACTTAAAAATAGAAGTTGCCTGTTTTTCCTCTATGTTCTATGTATCTTTTATTAATACCCCTGAACTCAAATTAGGCTCAAGAACATTTCTGCTCTACATTCATATAAGAGCATAAGGCATTCATAGCTGGGAGGCAGTCCAAACCTTGGTGCAGCACAACATATACAGCTAGATCCTCAGGTTCTAAGTCTGCATCATTTTAAAAAATAAATTAAAAAACAAAAAGGAAAGCAAAAATAGTTGCTTAGAAGGTTCATTAAGCTGGAAAATCTCCACCTGTTCCCTTAAGAATAGTATATCTTATTTTAAGTGTTACCCTGACAAAGTGTGTTTAAAACAGCAAAGTTAAGGAACTCCTTGCAGGTGTTCCCTTCTGAATCAAAATGTTTCTTAAAATCACACAACTGTAATTAATTTTGGATCCACAAGCACTGATGCGCAAGTAACCAAGTAGGTTGAGCCAATCTGACAGTTCACTGTGGCAACCCTCTGATGTGTTGGGAGTTAAGGTTTCAGAGCCAATTACCATGGAAATTATGACTTTCAGCCCAAAACAGCAGACAGATTTTCCACAGAATTAGACTTACACTAATCACACCAAGATCCCTTTTTTCATAGTCGCAGAAACATACATAAAATTGTAACCAGAAAGATGTTTGAGTGAATATTTGCTATGTAAGTGGTGTGAGCACTTTAAAAACAGACAATACCTCTTCCAAAAACTCTTTCCAATGGTTGGGTTATTTCTCATGCTTAGCAATGAGCCCTGTAAACAAGTCTTAACAAGCTTCAGTTAAGTGTGGAAATCTACAGACATGCAACAATAGATTGATATTTTTGCTTATCTTGGAATTTGTTGCCCAATTGCCTCTGAATTCAGTACTGGTTCTATAGCTCCAGTTTAAGTCTCCAGTCTTACTGACTGGACCCTTCAGTGGTTTGGATCAGTCCTTTCCATCTAGCTTGGTTTCAAGAAAAAAAAAAAAGATCAAGAGAATACTCGGCTACTAGCGTTAGTCCACCTTTTTGTATACCACATCTTGAAGTGAGATAAGAGAAAATGTTTTCTTTGATTAATGTTGGAGACATTAGTTGGAGGAAAGGGACTCTTGAAGGTATTCAAATTCAAAAACCTGAATCTGAAAAAAGTACAGTGTAAAAATAAGTAATTTATTGAATTAACCTAATGAATGTAAGTATTTTGCTAAGCACATAACTACATCTGCTTTTTCTTTTAATATATTTGTTTCACTTGCAAATAGCAGGATGAGATGCAGCAACGACCAAATTAGACACGTCCCCCACCTTGGAAGTAATTGGATTTTAATTCCATAGGAGTAGTGCCAGTCAAACACTGCTTTGAGAGGCTGAGCACACTAGTGCTACTTTCACCTAACATGCTTATGATAACAATAAAAGTCAGAAGGGGCTCCCTTCATAAAAAATTCTACTTGATGCAGATAAGATGCCCTGGTTTGGAAGCATCAGGACCTTGCCCAGTATCTGGTGAGAGCTTTGGCTGTGAGACCCACCTTTCTTCTGCTCACACATCCAGTGCCAAACACCCGCCCTGCTTACAGGCTGCGAGTAGTGCACTAACCCCTGGCACGGCACAGCCAGGGTTTCTGCAGGCACAGCAGCCTTCCTCTGCATTCTGCCTTTGAATTTCATGTAGAGGGCCCCCTCCCCTGGGGAAAAAAAAAATATATAGTTCCAACACTATCTGTCACGTATCTCTTTGGGAGAAGAGAAAAACTGTATCATATGGCATTACATGATGTTAGGACATATTGAACTATACCGTACCATGCTATAGGGTCTAACTAGATGAATGAAAGAGAGCAAGCATGCACCTGCACTTCCAGGCAGCAGACTTGCTGCACTTCACAGCTCACAGGGAACCAAGTACCTAAGAAGAAAATAGAGTGGATCTGCAAGATCGCATGCTATTAAATATATGTACTTGTTCTGGTAAAATAAGACGTTGAAATGCTGCTGCCATACCCTCTGCAATGCTTTCTACTGGGAACCACTGTCTCTGTGTGTATAGGTAAAAATAGGTGTGTACGTGTGTGTGTATACACACACAAATTTGATTTCTAAAACTCAGAAGCTTTGTAAGACTTTGGGGATGGCAACACTGCAATCCTTAAAAACTTAGGAACTAGAAACAGGTTGTAAACCTCTGTTCCAGGCTAAGGTCTTAGAATTGCACTACTAAAATCCTTTCTTCTGTTGTATTCTAAACCCCTTTAGAAACAAATTCAAAGTTTAAAAAGCAGAGGGGTAACTTTTGGAGCAGAAAGCATCACTGAAGACCCTTGCCTAAATTCAGGGTACGTATCTATCCAGCAGAGAGCAAAGCCTAGAGATAGATCAGCCCCTGGAATCTGGCTGGTTTGGCTCTGCAGATGAACACCCACATAGTCAGAAGAACATCTGCTGCAACGTCTCATATAAAGCATATACTTTTGAGGGTTTTTAAAAAACATGACTAAAAGCCCTTTCACAGTTCCTGATAAATTTCCATCTGTTTTCTGCATTGGCTGAAGTCTTGTCAACATAAGGAGGAACTGGGGATTCTTAGGAACTTCAAGATGAACCCAGAGCTATCCACTTTTGCATCGTTTTTAGAGAGGGATCTGGTAGATGTGTAGTGTTAGCCTACTGACCCTAAGTGGAATGCTAAGAATATCCTTAGTAAGTAAAAATCTACTTAACAGTAGAGAAAGGAAAAAGATTGCAAAAAAAACAAACAAAGATCAAGTTAATTTGTAAAGTGTTTACTTTGTATAGTTTTATCTTTCACTTCAAATAAGCAAGCATTCCACAACTGAAGATTCAGCTGATTCTTAAGAATGTTTTGTTGTATCAGTGTAATGACTCCTTTTTAAATAATTAGAGGTAAACAAAAGTATTCAAGAGGCTATTTAAATAGTGATAACCTTAAGACTAACAGCTTTGA